CACTGGAGGATATGTTGCGGGCAGCGTGTTGGATTGTGGAGGGAGTTGGGATACGTATCTCCCACTGGCAGAATTTTTGTACAATAACAGTTATCATGCAGTATCGATCAGGCTCCGTTTGAGATGTTATATGGTCGGATGTGTAGGACCCCGCTTTGTTGGGATGAGGTTGGGCACCGGGTCATGGGAGCACTGAGGTAGTGCTAAGACGACCAAATTGATTCAGCAGGTGCGCGACCGATTGCAGGTCGCACAGAGCGGTCAGAAAACTATGCCGACCGACGACGATCAGATCTTGAGTTTCAGGCGGGGGATTCGTGTTGCTGAAGGTTTCGCCCTGGAAAGGGATCATCAGGTTTCGGAAGTGGGGCAAACTGGGGACTCCAGTATATAGGCCCTGTTCAGGATCACGGCCCGGGTGCAAGGTGTCATATCGCTTGGATCTGCTAGAGGAGCTTAGCCAGATTCACAACACGTTCCATGTGTCGCAAACTTCGAAGTGTGTCAAAGATGAGGCTGTGGTTGTCTCATTGGGTGATATCCAGGTGGATGAGAGCTTGAATTACATCGAGAAGCCCGTTGCCATCTTGGATAGGAAGACGAAGGCTCTTCGTAATAAGGAAGTAAGACTGGTGAAAGTGCAATGGCAACATCGAAGGGCTCCGAATGGATTTGGGAGCGGAAGAGGAGATGCGAGATCATTACCTCAATTTGTTTTGAGTCAGCAGACTTCAAGGACGAAGTCTAGTTCAAGTGGGGGAGATTTGTAACACTGTTTTGAATTGGAAAGGATTTAGCATGGACTCGGCGAGTGGAGGTCAAGTCAACTCTTCGAGTAGGGTCGTGAGATCATGAAACGCGGAACAGGACCGACTCGACGAGTCGAAGGTCAACTCCGTGAGTCCGAGCTGTTTAAAGAAAACCAAATTTTAAGTTTGCCCCCCTATATAAACATCATGATCCGCCCTAGTAGCCTCCTTTAGCACCATAGAAGAACGTTTTACGGCCGCACACCCTCTTGTGAGTGAATTAAGATCAATTGAGAGCTTATCCTTGAGAATTTTGGGGAGGAATCCAAGTTTGAAGAGGAAAGTATCAAGGAGAAGTGTTAGATCAAGTAATCTATTTCGTCTTAGGCATTAATTGAGGTATTAATCTGTTGCCTTGAGCCTAGATTCTATTTGGAGAATTTGTGACCAACTTAGGAAATAGAAGCACCTTGGATCTGGACCTATCACAAGGATATGGTTCCATATATGGACCTCGTTAGGTCCCAAACATCATAAAGTTGCACCCCTTATTAAGCCCCTTTTCTCTCCATGCATGAAAACCTTGTTGGAAGGTTAGTTTTGGTGATTATGACTATGTGAGGCTTTGCATGCACGTAAAGTTTGCAACTTTATGTGTTAAATCCACACTAGTAAGTATATATATGAAGTTTGGGGCCTGAGTCCACTGGAAGAGAGTCCGTAAACGTAATGGACTAATAGGGACTCGGCGAGTCGTGCAAGAGACTCGGCGAGTCGAGAGGGTTTCCTCGTTACGGCCAAGGGTTTACGACCAAGGGTTTACGGCCAAGGGTTTACGGCCAAGGTGTACGGTTGTAGTTTACGGACGTAAACACCAAGGAACTCGACGAGTCCCTCGGGTGACTCAGCGAGTCGATGAGTTAAGCAGGGAACCTGACGAGTGAATGATTGTACTCGACGAGTCAAGGTCAATATGGACTGTTGACCTTGACTATAGATTTAATTTTACCCTCGGGTATTTATGGGGTTAGGCTGAGTTATTTACTCATTGATTATAGGCAGTTGGGGAGACCAGCATAGGGTATACCCTGAATTTAGTTGTCGATTCAGCTTTGTGAGGTGAGTTTTCTCACCATACCAATGGTTCTAAGGCACAAGGTCGGCCCATTGTGTGATAGTTGGTTTACTTGTTATGTAGACGTGTGATATGTATGTGTGCATGATATGTGTAAGAGATAGCCTTCGTGGCTAACGGTAGAGATAGCCTTATGGCTAATGGTAGAGATGGCCTTATGGCTAATGGTAGAGACAACCTTTATGGCTGGTGGTAGAGATAGCCTTTGTGGCTAACGGTAGAGATAGCTTCATGGCTAATTGACATGTGATAAGTGGTAGAGGTAGCTTTAATAGCTAATTGTGATATGTGGTTTTGTGGGGTATGCTCTAGGGACTCACTAAGCTTTCAGCTTACCGTTTGTGGATTTGTTTCAGGTCCATCGGAGCCCAAGGGCAAAGGCAAGGAGTAATGATGCGGCGTGCACTCTATCTCTCTTTTCCGATCTGGTTTGGGGGACACTATGATGTTTTGAAAATAATAATGGTAATGTTTGTTGTAACTGTGTGTGGGTTTTGAAAAACAATTTTTGGAATCTTTATGTTTATGAAAAATGGTTGACTAATTAAAAATTAAAAATTTATTGTAAAATTTGGTCGTGTACAGTAAATCTTTTGAATCGGAAAAGAACAATTCAAATTTTGAAAAAGACGAGTAAACCAAAAAATGATTGATTGTATCCTACTTTGATACCAAATGTAGTGAGTTTTAATCGAGTATTAGACGAAATCAAGAACTAAATGCGATAAGAACAAAGATTAATATAACTATTTGACTCTTAAATTCCATCAGAAGGAATATAGGAGTACAGAAAGAGTAAAGTTCTCAACCTTACAAAATACATCGACTCCTATACCAACCCCTATTTGTAGAGGGTAATATACACGTACAAAACAAACCCCACATAAGGACAAACGTTCGAGCTCATCCTCTAAAATGCCTTACATAAATACATACTTCAAATACAATGACTTCGACATCGACACTACCATACCTAAAAGTCCTTCGACACCTCACTACATACTTCGACCCTTACACAGTCTTTAATAATTTTCCCTCTAAAAGCAAAGATGACATAATTTTTATTAAGACTGAAATTTAGTCTGTAATAAGTTTCCCTCCAAAGTCAAATTTGGTGCTAGTTTATCCCATACTGAAATTTACTCCATAATTTTGTTTCATTCCCATAGTATTTGCAACTGATTCATTAGTCTCCGATATATGATATTCGTGACTAAGTAATCAATCCCGAATAGTTAAATTCAGTTTTTAATAAGTTTCCATCCAAATATAGTACTTAATAAATACTGTACTTCTATAAGAGAGTCACATTCAGTCTCTAATAAATAATGTACAAAATCAAACTGGCACAATTTTATCAGGCTGAATTCAGTTGCTAATAAGTTCCCCCACCCCCCCCCCCCTATTAAAAATTGGTACTAGTTTATTGGAGACTAGTCCGTAATATGCTTTGCTCCAAATATAAAATGACGTAACGTATGAGAGACTGCATTTTTCAGTCTCAAATAAGCATGGCCGGTCACTAACAATCCACACTTAAAATGAGTTCGTGTGGCTATTCATCATACCCACGTGCATGGATCTAATTCTAAGTCTCACATGGTATCTAATATTGGTTAATCAATCTCTAACATTTTAGTGACATATGGGCTATTCATCAAACCTACATGCATGGTACTAATTCTAAGTCTCACATGGTATGAAAGATTGGTTAATCAAACATTTTAGTGACATATGACCATTTTTCTTGTAGTGTAAGTAAACGTTCAACCGGTATGTAAAAGTTTAACCATTCTATATAAAGTATCCACAATAAAAAGTTTAACAAAAAAGATAAATGAGGTGGAAATATGGTTGGTGGGATTAAAATTCAATTACAAAGATATGACATGTTAGCGTTCAATGACAATTGAACTAATAATTAGGAAAAAAAAGACTTTTTGATGGATGGATATATCTATATATATATATATATATTTATATAATATATATCTATATCTATATATAATATATATATATAGATATAATATATATAGGTTCAGGTGTTTTAAAGTAAGTATTGTGTTATTGTATGCATAAATGGTGGGTCAATAAAAATTTAAATAAAAATAAATAATTAAATAAATAAAAAGGGTAAATAAAAAAGGGTTTAAATAACTATCCATTGATCTTACTTTCCAAAACTCCTATCCTCTACTTCATGGTAACCCATTGACTTCAGCTACTAGGCTTTTTAAAACCACTGTAACCCTAATCAACCCCTCTCCAGCCGTCACCCCCATCCATCCTTATGCCTCCCCCCACCGGCCGCCACCCTACCCTCTCCCGCTCTCTCGATTCCAGTCGCACGCAAACCACACACCACTCCCCCCCCCACCCCCATTCATTTCACTTTCACACCACTCCTTTTGTAAAACGTAACTTCTCTTTTCCCAATTTACCCCTACATTCAATCTCTCATGGCGGAGGATCGGAGACGCCCTGAACCACCTACTTACTCCGGTAGAAGGAGCTTGATACGGAAGCTGGAGGCCGAATTAATCGTAGATCATAAGTTTTCTTTTACAGACGCCGTTTCTCAACAAGATCTATTATATGCAATTCATGCTCAGGTTGTGAAGTACTCGATTCTACTTTCTCATCGAGTGAAGCAGCTCGTGCCCTAGTCAAATGCTCACTTCACGCCCTCTCCGAGTTCGCAAAGAAGGTTTGGATTTTTCTTATTGAGTTTGTTTTGTTTTTCAACTTTACGCAAACGTAATTTGATTTGATTTCGTTTGTGAACTTGATCGTCGAAGCTGGTGCTGTTCCAGCCCTAGTACGGCATCTTCAAGCGCCACAGTCACCAAAAGAGGTTGTTACTGGCACAATACCGTATGAACCATGAGGTGGAAAAAGCAGTGCTTTTACTCTCGGACTTATTGCAATTAAGGTAGGTACTCATTTGAATTGCATAACCTTGTCAATTAAAATAAAGGGAGAATCAAAAAGAATTATATTTGATAAAATTACTGTTATTAATGGCGGATAGATTGTTTCCTCTTGAATCCGTTCACAAACAATTTCTGAACACTTTCAAAAACCTTCCCAATGTTTTAACAGCCTGAGCATCAACAATGCATAGTGGTGATGCTGGAGCCTTACCTCGTCTGGGTTGTCTTCTTAAGAGACACCTGGATGGCCAAAGTTCTCTTCGAGCGCTGAATGGTGCCATAAGGAAAGCAGCTGATGCAATCACCAACCTTGCTCATGAAAATTGCAGCATCAAGACCCTTGTTAGGTCTGTTTCCCTCCATCTTTTTCAGATGTTATTCATGTATTTAGTACCTTTAGTTCATCACATTTTTTCATGTTTAGGGTTGAAGGTGGCATTCCTCCACTTGTTGATTGGTTAGAATCCAGTGATGCAAAGTGCAAAGAGTTGCAGCGGGGGCCTTGCGTACACTAGCTTTCAAAATGATGAAAACAAAAACCAGGTTGATGCTTTTATAATTTAGGTGAAGCTTTTTTTTTGGATCAAGAACTAAATTTTGTCTAATATATCAATGAAATATTTGCAGATAGTGGAATGTAATGCTCTGCCCACCCTTGTTCTAATGCTTCATTCAGAAGATGCTGCTATACACTATGAAGCTGTTAGTTTATGTACCATTTCTTAAATACCAATTAGTGTGTATACATCTATTGCATTAGATATTTCAGTAGTATTGACTTCTTTCTTTTGACTTTGGAAAGATGTAAAGGAAATGGCCAAAAAGATTCAACGATTTATGTGGTAAGCGAATTCTATCGGAATAGAATCACGAATTCAAAATTCTATCGGAATGGAAACACGAATTCCTAATTCTGTTGGAATGGAATATGGATTTTTTCTCATTGATTATACATGTTCTACAATTTTTGGTTATTGGTTTTGGTGCAGTCAACAAGTCCGCTTATTCAAAGGAATATAGTTTTTTATTTATCATTGCGAATGCGTTATTGGATTCTAAACTACAATTGGATTGTTTTCACAGAAGTTGATGCTGGAAGAAGTTGATTTGAAGAACGGTCAACAAAATTAAAAGTGTTTCTTAGCAACATTATTCTTTTAGAATGAATTAGTGTATTTGTTGATTTTGATGTTTTTTTTTTTTTTTCCCGATTTGAAAGTTTTTTAGTTTTATTTTTTAACATAATGTAATTCTTAACAATTGTTACATGCATTCTATAATAAATAATGTAATTTTTGTTTTAATTCTTCAATGCTGGTTCGAGAAGTGTTATTCTACAAGAAATTTTTTAAAGTCATGATCAAGAAAATTTGTTATTCTAGAATATTATTGTTTTTGAACATATTCAAACAAACAAATTCTGTCAGAATGTCCGAATTAAAAACCTTATAATTCGTAAAAATATCGGATTTTAAAATTAATAGAATCTATGATCCCTTAAAATATGCAAATTTCTTTTATTAAATATGTATTAATGACTAAAAAATACCCTTCTACTTAAATTGGATGGTAGTTTTCAATTATTTTTAATTCAATAATATGTATTAATCACTTTCTTAAAATAAGTAAAATGATTGGCCCACATTTATGCATACAATAACACAATAATTACTTTTAATAGAATAACCTAAGCCTATATATAGATATATTATATATATATATATATATTTATATATATATATATATATTATATATATATTATATTATAAGTGTTACATGTGAAGCTTTGTACAGTTTAACAAATATACAAAAAAAAATATTATAAAATTACATAAAAAGCAATGATGTTAAAATTATTAACACAATGAATGCCCTGATAACTTAAATTGCACTTCTACAACAAGCATTACACTTCAAAAATGCTTAGGAGTTAGGAAGCATTTTCTACTTATTGTACTCATAGAAATCTTGCTAATTAAAGGATGTAGCTCTTTTTCGGTTTAGATTTTGACCCCGCAGGCCTGCATGCAAGTGAAATAATCTTCGATATGGTGACATGGCTTATCGCCACCAGCAGGAGGCGGAGACCCGCCACCAGCAGCTGGAGGTGATGATCCGCCACCGCCACCGCCACCGGCAGCAGGAGTGAGATGATCCGCCACCAGCAGGAGGTGATGATCCGCCACCACCGCCACCGGCAGCAGGAGGTGA